CCCCTAACTAGTAACTAAACATATAACCTTACTATATAAATAAACATTGATACATACTAGGTATGTATAGTTAAGACAGGGTTGCTCCTCCCCAGGCGAGGGGGCTCCATGAAGATTTCCCACCATAATAATATGGTCAAAAAAAGGTTGCTAAAAAGTTTAAATACTTACAAAAGTTATAAATGCAGAATAATTGAGTTTCAAGCATAAAAAAACTGTTTATAAAATAATACCCTGCGTTTTTGTCTATTCGCGATGTCCTCATAAACTACTGAACTGATTTTAAACTGTCAAACACCAAGCGGTCACCGGTGACCGCAACCTATTGTTCTATAATTGTGTCTACAAAACCGGTACTCGACGAGTTAATGGTACTGAACATTGCATGCATAGGTTGATTGGTGAAAATGGTGTACCTAAGTATTTAATTCATTCGGAGTCACGGAGAACCTAACGGGTTACCGGCGCTCCGGCTCGACGTGCAAGAGAAGGAACGGGGTGGTTTTTAGTCAGTAAGAGTCTGACACTCCCTCCCGCCTCACCCAGGCGGGAGCAGCCATTCGATGATTTCGCCCCCTTAAAAAAAAATTAATTCGTGAAGATTTGAGTGTGAATGAGAAGGGTGAAGCGACGTTAAAATATGACGTCACATAAAAACATAATGGTACCACCTCCCGACATTTAATTTTTACACAAATCTATATATTTTGGAGTGTCTTGACATTTTTGCAGAGGTTTACTGCTTACAATGTAATGTCATTTTTATCGCCAAGTCCACGAAATAAACTGTTATGTCTTCCAATAAAATATAATACAAAACATTTTGCGGTTTATAGCGTTTTTAAAGCAGATGCTACTCGTATATTGCATGAAATATTTCAACATTTTTTATCAGAAGAATTGTGAACATTATGATTTTAAGTAGTCTAGTACTTAGTTATAGATGTCGCTTTATACTCTTTGTTTTAGGGTAGGTACTTGAAAGATTTTTTTTTTTGGATAAGCCGGTAAACGAGTAGACGGATCACCTGATGGTAAGCAATCGGTGTTGCTCATGGACACTTGGAACACCAGAGGCGTTACAAGTGCGTTACCGGCGTGTTGGGATTACGAATTTGAAAATTTTTGGGGACTTAGAAATTGAGGAAGGGGTAGGTAGGATCGACGTTAAACAACGCAAGCGTTGTTTAACGAGTAAGAGTCTGAAACTCCCTCCCGCCTCACCCAGGCGGGAGCAGTCGTTCGATGATTTTTCCCCCTTAAAAAAAGTCAAAATGGTATTTACTCGAATCCATTTAGATGTTTTGTCCGACATTTTGCGTACAAATAGAATAGTACAGAATAGAATCGTAAACTACGGATGGTCATTGAGGGAAATTGCTCGCAGATGTTAAATTTACATAGGGTAACAGTTCTGTAGAACACATCAATGACTGGTCAAGCCCCGTCTAGTCCCATTACTAAGCGTTTTGCAGGCAAATTGTCCATTTCCCAGCTAAAACGTTAAGTTAGAATTGACTGTCCTGGATGAAATATCTTTATGTCTATATTTATGTAGAGTGAGTACTTTGTTGTTCGTGTAGTCTAGTGTAATTATAGAATACAGGGTGTAAATCACATGCTCCCGAAAACGAAGACAGATGAAAGTAAAACACGAGGCTCATTAAAAAAAGTAAGGAATTAAATGTTTATTTTGTGTAATAAGAGTTGTAATCAACTGCTCAAGGCTGATGTTGCATGATGATACGAAAACAAAGACGATCACAGTCGAAAAAATTGTCCGCATTATCGATAGCGTTCTGTTTAATGTCTTGAGTACAATTCGGTGTGGCGTTTAACTTGTTAAGAGTTTTGAAATCGATTAACTTGACAAATAGCTCTTGCAACTATCAGTAACGTTCTTATAATTCTTTCGATGTTTCAGATGTCTAAGTCTATGACATGATCACAATCCGTCAGGTGATCCGTTTGCTCTCTTGCCGCTATTCCAAATAAAGTGAATCAGAATTAACATATATGTATTCAGCAGTTGCACTCTACAAATGAGTTATATTGCAGAATAATTTTGCAAGCGCAGCGTAGGACGTCCATCCGCAAGGTGGATAGACGACCTGATTAAGGTCACAGGCAGACGCTGGATGCAGGTCGGCAACAACCGGCCTATTTATACGTCATCGGAGGAAGCCTATGTTCAGCATAATTACATCTTGCGACTGATACGATGATGAATAAATAGTTTTACACACGAACTTCATACCTACCATAGAAAAATCTACCCCAAAACATCTGACTAACAGTCTAAACACCAAAACTAGCGTGACTAACCAACATGCCAGTATCGGCCGCCTCACTAATGATGATTTGAAGACGGCTCACTCTTGAATGGCGATGTTTATTACCGCAGACACATGTTCTACTTAATTATAGCTGAGTATATTATGTCATTACGTCTATATGAATAATTTGACCTTATACACCAGACAGATATAATTATTTTGACTGGATATGTTCAAAGTTAAAACGTTTATTTGAAATTAAATAAAAGAAAATTCTACCGTCCCGTACCGTTTTGCTATGTTTTTATAATAACTATCGTGAGACATACTAAATTAAGTAAAAACGCGGGTTACTCACGTGAATATATTGAGAAAAGCTCTACTAGTTTCGAACCACAGAGGGGTTCTTTTTTATGAGCAGCGTGCGCGGTCGCGGCGACGTCGTGCAGCTCACTGAACCCCGTGAAAACGGTCGTTAGTTCTGTCGCCTGAAATATCAGATGCGAAATAATATATAACATAACCTTTGTATTTCCGAAGGGGTAGGCAGAGGTGAACATTACGGCACTTAATGCCACTACAATT